TTCTCGAACTTTACTCCAGTCGAAAAAATTTCATATCTATAGAACGAAAAGTTCGGGAAGCCTACAAATTTGAATGTAAGGTTTTCAACCATGCTCTACAAGATGAGGCTACTTAGAAAAAAATCTGAAGTAGTCATTGAGCTTGGCTTGTCGTGGCTTATGTGCAATGGCTCCTAAGTATTAATTGAGTTTTTACTCTTCGCACGATTAGGATATATTGATACTTTTTTGTCTTTTTATGTTTTTGAAGAAACATAGTATATTAAATACAATTGAAAATATATTTACTAAAGTATGAAAAAAATTTATTGATCGTCTTCCACACAAAAAAATTCTGTTGACAGATTAAAGAAAATTTTTTTATCGGTATCCTTGGCTGGTATTGATTTTGTAGTGCTAATACATTAAAAAATTTTCCTCTAGTCAATAACGACGAACTGGTTCGAATCTTACTGTCACTTTTGGTTCACATAAAGTGCTTTTCAGCACTTTACAGTGGTTATTATTTCAACCAAAAAAAGAAGTAAAAAGGATCCATACAAAATAAAAGAAAAAATCGAAAACTTTCTAGGATACACACACACAATACATATCCCATTATGACACTTTTTGAAAAAATGTGCCATTTTTTGGATTTATTATCTTTTTCCATGGAAAAATCAATTTAAATCGATTTTTTTTTGAAAAAACCTATTTAAATTTACTTTTATAAAAATCTTTTAGAAAAATCTGTTTAAATTTAATTTATAAAAACATTCATTTAAATTCATTCTGCGTAACTTTTTGTGTGAAAAATCTATTTAAATTTATTTCTACCTCAATAAATTTGGTTTAAGTTTTTGAGAAAATCTATTTAAGTGCATTTTATTTTTGATTTGGAGAAAAAAGAAATTCAAATTAACGTTTTACAAGAATCAAAATCAGATTCATTGAGAAAGAAATTCATTTAAATAGATTTTTCGCACGAAACGTTACGCAGAATGAATTTAAATGAATTCTTTTAAAAATTAAATTTAAACAGATTTTTCTAAAAGAATTCTAAAGATTAATTTAAATAGGTTTTTTTCAAAAGAAAAAATCGATCTAAATGAATTTTTCGAGTAAAAAAAAATAATACACTAGTTTTTAACGTTTAACATTTTTAATATCAAAAAAATCGATTTAAATTGATTTTTCTATGAAAAAAAAAATAAATCAAAAAAACTGACACATTTCTTCCAAAAAGTGCCGCAATGGGTAGTTTAAGAGTAGAAAATAATAACGAATTTTTTCGTAGAGAGACAAACAAAATGAAAAGCAAGTGCTATACCAGTTGTTGAATCTGTACCACTGTCAGAACTAGTATAAACAGTTTGTTGATACATCGCTGGTTGTTTGTCTCTGTTTTGTTTTTATTGCGTCACCCTTAGACATGCATCAATACGGTATATTGATAATCGATATCTGATATGTTCGAATGTCGTTATTATCGGTCCCCGATACTATCGATTTCAATATTATCGATAACGATACGATTGAATTCCGATAATTTCGATCTTTATCGATATTAACGCATGCCTAGTCAATCTTCTTGTGTATGTTTCACGGGTTTGCGACATATCTAACAAAATAAAAGCAAATAACAAAAATCTAAAATACAAAATAAAGCAAAGAGTATTAATTGGAAAGAAAGAGTAACTTGAGGAATGCAAACAAAAAACATCGGGATACGGCTGGAAGTTCTTGAGAAATAGCTATCTTAGGCTTAAAAAATGATTTGCCAACGAGCAGTGGGAAAAAGCTACCAATTGGCTTACAGGCAATTTAGAGATGAGATATTCTTTCTTTGCTGGCTCCCGATTGCAGTTCTCTGCATTCTATTCGAGTAACACAGCCAGAGTTGCCATTCTGTCCACTTTTTGAAGTCTTTTTAATTTCGAGGTTGAATATCCACTGTCGTTTTTAGTACAACATCTTGACAATGACTCATCACTAATAAGTTGTCCTTATATGATCAAGTTAATTCGTTTATTGCAAGCAATAGTGGGAAAGATGTAAGAAAAGAGAAAAAAGAACACGCATGACGATAGTGATGACGAGTCACACTATGAAAAATAATGAAAAGTCACATATTACAAATAAATTAAAATCAATATTATGAATTTTTTAACCATTTATCGTTAGAATTACACTGCCGTTTCTTCTTATAGTTCTAATTTAGAGTTCATTCTTTCAAAGCTAATTTTTCAAATTTCAAACGATGCATTTTTCCTTTCAAGTAGGTTTTATCGACAAATCCATCTCACACGTCTGCCTGGGACGCGTACGACAGGAAGAGTGATGTTTTGGGGGGCAGCTCACGAATTTCCTTCATATAACTCTGTTTACTACAAACTATCCAAACACCTATTGATAATGATCTTTATGACAAGATATGCTAAAGAGGGCATAAATTTTTGCATATTATGTGATAACCTGCCAATCCCTTCACCTCAAATATGACGCTGAAGTAGTAGGACCTCAAATAAATTGCCAGTGGGGACGAAATATGTCCCCGTGGGAGATTTATTTACGGGGGGACAAAATAGTCGAAGGGGAGACTGTCCCTCTCAATGGGGGACATCTGAAAACCCTGTTGGCAACTCTAAACACAGCTCATTGTTTAATTAATAAAATACCCGTCTGCGAACATTTTGTGATTTGAAACAATAAAACTTCTGACTTCATTCACAAGAGAAATAAAAACTCTTGAAAAACGACTTTATAATACGTCTTTTTCTGTCAAAAAAATTAGAAGATCTGCATTCTGACGTGATTTCTAGGTCCGCCATATGTGATTCGTTATTTCTCTACCTATCATTACCATACGTGATCACTCACTTTTCTTTTTTTATCAGTTTTTTCCCTTTCTTTATTATGTTTGTGTCCATGAAACGAAGGTTTGTAGTTTTTAACTGTTTGTAAATAAAAAAGGGATTCAGTTCTGGAGGAAATAACACATTGAATTACTAGAGTAACAACTAATAGATAAAAATATCAATATTTCTCATATTCGGAACCAGGATTGCTAGAACTGGTAACTCATGGGGGACGGAACAAAGAAATTGTCATGATGATCCTTTGTTCCGTGTCCCATGAGTCACCAGTTCTGGCAACCCTGTTCGGAACAATGCTTTAGAAGGGTGTCTGTTTCAGAAGCGAGATTCTTTCATTTGACATTATCCAGACTTCACAGTAGAGTCCTGCGGGTTAACCCGATCTCGCAGGCTCGGAATCGGGATCCCGAAAGCTATTTTTCGGGTTCGCGGCAGGTTTGAGTTCATCTGAATGGGATTGGATTTGTTTCCGATCCCGATTCTTCTAGTTTGATATAGGGAGGAGATAAAAGACAATTCTAAATAAATAAAAAATAATAGAAAATAAGAAAAACAGACAGATATTTTGCATTAGCCGTACAGCCGACCAAGTGAATTTAATTTTTGTTCCTCTACGAGTAGAAATTTACTAATGTTAAAATGAAAGAGAGCACCAGTTCGCTAGAAAAAATTTTCGGGTTTAGGCGAGCTTCGGATGGATTTAATTTTTAAAAATCAGGATCTCGACAACTTTTTTCCGGGTTCGGAACGAGTTTCAAATCTACGGGACCGGATCGAGTTCAGGATCGGAAATGTCAGACCCGCATGATCCTACTTCACAGTGCAGAAAAATAAAACAGAACAACACATTTGTCATGCTACAAAAAAAGAAAGAAAGAAAAAAAAGAAAAAAGAAAAAAAACAAAATTTCCTTCTTATTCGAAAAGCACTGATAAATTTTCTTGTTCTATTTCTTGCAAGATTCTTGCCTAATGTCATTTCAGTCAAGAATCTTGAGATAAAAATATATGTAAACTATTTAGCAACATTCTTGGCTGGAACGACAGAAAGAAAGAATCTTGCAAGAAATTCGACCGGTGAAGCAAAACTAAAATTCCAAAGTATTTTCTTTTAAGTTTGACTATACAAGTACACAGAAACAATCAGTTTTCTTCCTTTAGATTCTAAATTTTAATTATGGGTGGTCCTGGTATTATTGATGGTCAACCACATACTGAAACAGATAATTTCCAAAAATGTTCATTCAAAATTAAGGATATTGAGTATTACAGTGCGGAAAATTATTTTCAAGCTCAAAAAGCGACAAACCCACAAGATCATGATCGTGTAAGACAATCGGGATGGTGAGTAGTTAGCTCTTTTCTAAGACAGAGTGTATAATTACGCCATTTCTTGCTTGTTTTCAGTGGCGCAGATGTTTGGATGGCTGGTTCTGGCATTAAACTTCGTCCCGATTGGGAATCTGTTAAAGTACAAGTTATGTATGAAGGAAACAAGGCAAAATTTGATCAAAATCCAAATTATGCTGAACAATTAAAGAATTCAAAGGGAAGAGTCACGTTTGCAGTATCGTCACCATTTTGGAACAAATGGAACGGTTTGATTATGGAACGAATACGAGCAGAAATAAGACAAAATGGTAAAGAAGATGAAGAGACTGCGAAAGAGATTAAAGCTAAAATGGACAAATATAAGGAAGAGAATTGATATTAATGATGCAATTTTTTGGTCATTTTGCAGCATAACAGAAACTAACTATGATATCAGTTACTACATACACTCTAAAATAAACGTGTTTTCAAAGAACTAGTTTAAGATCTCATTTAAGTTCTTTGAAATATGAAGAACTTAATTTTTATTTTTCAATAAAAAAATGAGTTTTTCATTCATTTCAGTTTTTCGCTCAATTTAGTTCTTCATAAATTTTGCTTTTCAAAATTTGAAAAACACAATGGTTTTGTTGAGTTCTTTGAAGATCTCGAAATCATATAATCATCGTTTTTGTTTTGCGATTCTTGATATATAGAGTAATGTAGGGCAATTCAGAAATTTTTTTGTATCATTGTAAATGTTTTTGGATAAACTTTGTTGGCAAAAATCAAGATTAAAATCACCTTTTTACATGTTGAAATGACCATTTCAAATTGAGACGTTTCGTCTTTATTCTAAAGACATCATCAGTCAACTGATGCACAAAAAATAACTTCTAACATAGA